ATTTTGCTGCTTAGTTACTGTTAAGTGCTTGCCACCATCTGTACAAAATAATCCTTGGCCATTGTGCTGGTTTTAAGAGGAGTGGGTTTCTGTGCATTTTTGAAACTTGATGAAAACTGACTGTGCTTTTCCTTCTCTTGAAAGAACATTTTTCTTATTTCATTAGTTGTTATTGTTTTTTATGCACACTTTGGTGGTCTTCTAGTTGGTTGCTTGAATGTGGAAGTAAAAACAATATATTAAGGTCAGCAAAGGTAATGCTTAAAGTAACAGTAAGCTACATTTTTTGCCTAGGCTGAAGCTCTGGTTCAGTACTTGGAGGAACCTTTAACCCAAGTGGCTGCGTCATGAACACTGCGGAAGAAAATGACTGTGACACCGATTCCTGGATTTCCTGTCTGAAGTCTCTGGAAGGAAACTGGCCAAGGAGCAACTTTCTGTTGGACTCTTTCAGGGATGGTTTCCAAAACTAAGGCTGTCTTGATCCATAAGGCAGCACTATCCTGAAGCATTTATCTGTATATAGCATTGATTTCAACTGTGCATGTGTTTAGATCCTGTTTAAAAGTCATTCTGTGCAGAACATTGTTTTAATCAAAGAATCTGTAATACCACCTCTGTGAAATCTGTAAACAACAAAATGAAAGAAGTTTCTTGCTGTCGATACACCGGATTTTTCCTTTATTGTCAAACATTGGCTCTTGCAAAGCAAATGTAATGAACAGTGTGGGTGTGCCTTGATGCCTTGGTTTTGAGCTTGCATCAGATTATTTTCAGTTTGCAGCGCACTTGGAGACAGAAATACAAATCTGCTTGTTTTCGGTGATACATGACTCCTTGGCTTCAGTCCCCTTTGCTCAGCCCTGTACCCTGGGCATGGAGATCAGAGAATGTTTCTTTGTACTGCCCAGCTGTGAACTCCATATCTGTGAAGTATTACAGTCCTGCTCCATTTACCTTACATTGGGCTGTTCGCAGTTTGCAGGAGGTTGTCCAGTGGTCCATTAGCTCAGGAAGGTGTGAATGCACAAGGCCTGGATGCAGCAGTGTGACAGAAGGAGCCAGGGACAGCAAGGCCCAGCCTGTCTAGAAACTTTATGAGTGTTTGATTTTGCTGTATTACACAATCTATGGAGAAGGACTCCTCTCCTGGTAAAAGGAGTCTTTTATTGTGTTTGGGTCTTTTTTTAAAATAAACTGTCTTTTATTAGATTTATTCCCTAGTAGTTAAAGGGTGAGGTACAGAGCTGCTGGCTTCTTGACAATCACTAGGGGGGTTAGAGAAGTAGGGGTAGCAA